CTATTCTAAAGACTGGAGGTAAAAGGGAACTGGGGTGTATATTAGCTGGAATGTACAGAAATGCTGGCTCCACCCATGCTAGTGACTGAATTTGACTTCGGTGAGTGTACAGAACCAATCATCAATTAGCTCAATGTGACCAATAAGTCATATTCCCAATACCCAAAACCACCCTCCCATTTTCCAAAAGGAAATTCCCCCCCCCCCCAAAAAAAAACAATCAACCAACCATGCAATCTTTAAAACCACCAACAGGTAAAAGAATGGCCCAGGTTCCATTAAACACTGATTTTGTTTGTCAATACTTTGAGATTGGATTGGATCCATGTATGTCTCTTTGCAGGCTTACCTACTTTTATCCATCTACCTAATTTATATAGAGTTTCTTGTCCCAAGTTTACCTCTGTTTCCTTAACAATGGTTTATGAAAGTAAGTAGCCATTTCCACTTGACTGGTTTCTAGAACGAGCTTGATGTTAGAACATGGTGGAGACATGAATAACGTAAGCCTTAATACTGCGACTGAACTGAGGCAGAGTCTGACAACTTGAAGCCTTTTGTTATAGGCATTTTATCCAGAGACTAGCAACCACTTAGATGAATGTGTGAAAATTTAACATTGACTCATTTTAAGATTTAGTTCAGATTCTGATTCACAACTGTGCTATCATCCACAGAATTAATATAGCTAATAAAAAGCACTTAGAGGACCCAACTAATGATCACAGAGGCTTATCAATATGTGGAAAAACAATATACCAAAGCAATGTTCTGGGTTGTTTCCGGCCATCCTAATGATCAAACAAGTTTAACTGGTTGCTTACTCAGTGAATACGGTACAAATTGGGTGCTCCAGTTGACACTAACTTGGTTACTTTATAGTAGATGCCTCCAGTTTTGTTTGATGAAAATTTCCAGTCATTTAACAAATTCCTTTAACGTCAAGGAGTTTGGATGTCACATTTAATCCTCACTTTTTTATTCTACCCTTGCAACAATATTTTAGTTTTCTCAAGTATGAAACTGGTGGTGGTGGTGGTGATGGTGGCAGTGTGCCGTGAAGTCAGTTCCGACTAAGAGCGACCCTGTATAGGGTTTCTGAGGCTGTAAATGTTTACGAGAGCAGAAAGCCTCATCATTCTCTCACAAAACAGCTGGTAATTTTGAACTGCTGACCTTGAGGTTAGCAGCCTGACTCTTAACCACTACACTACCAGAGCTCCTTCGAGTATGAAATTGGCTAAGTCTAAATGCTAACCCTATGGCTGGACTCATGTCATGACTGGTAGTCAAGGCTTCCTCTTAGAGTTGAGGGTACGTTGCATAGCATCGAGTAACCCATCTCATTCGATCTGTTCTTCCATATACACAAGTCAATGTTTGTTATGACTTTCTTGATCCTTATTTATAAGACAATACAAGAGGAAACCATGTGTGTATGTTTGAAATAGAAATGATACATTGCACAGATATAGTTCACCACGTTCTGGGATGGGTTGTCAGTGTTCAAATGGGGAGCCTGGAGAGTAGGAACAGATGCTTTTTTTCCTTTATAGCCTTTTCTCCAATTTAAAATCTTTCCATTTATTTCTCTAAGATTTAGTGATAACTTTAAACACTCTAGCTAAATTACCCAGCGGCTTGGCAGCCATCACAGAGGCAAATCTTTTTAGAAATCCTAGCAATCTGTTATATCATGAATACTATGATATAAAATCTGCATGTTCCATGTATAAAAATGCACTCAGTGCAATGGATACAAATACAGAATACAAATGGCATTGTTCCCAAACTGAGGGTACATGACCTATCTATGAATATTGAATTTATATATTCCCTTCAGTCATTGACTTCCTAAATTTGGGCTAATTTATTTTTATTATCCCTAAGTAAACCTGCTTTGATTTTTTAACTGTACTTCTACAATCAAAGAGTGCCAGCCAGCCTTGATTCATGGATCCTGATGTTGCTAGGATACAAGGATTGGTATCTGATGAAAATATGTCACTTCAAAGGGGAAAACTTGCAAGTATTCTGGAAAATAGCACTCCCATCTTCCACTGTGGAAGACAGGCCCAATCCTGGAGCTTCTCAGAAGCTCACGGACTGCAGGATTAGCCTTCTCTTTGGAGAACTGTTTACTTGCAAAAGCTAGCCAGGTTGGTCTTAAAACAAGGAACACACGTATTTATAGTAAAACACGTTTTCATGTTTGTTTTACAGTGAAGAGAAAAAAACCCAGAACCCCCAGATTTTATGTACTTTGAAAATATATTTAAAAA